CGCCGCCCTCACGCCCGATGAACAGAGGTGCGAGGACTTTTATGTGCAAACGCACTCTCGCACGGAGACGGGACGGTACGTGGTGCGCCTACCGTTTGCCAAGACGCCAACGACGTTGTCGAAAACTCGCCGACCGGCCGAACGCCTGCTGACCGCAATGGAGCGTAAGTTCCAAAGAGACGCCCGGTTCGGAGAGCTCTACCGTCAATTCATGCGAGAGTACGAAGACCTAAAACACATGGAGTTAGCTGCGGGCTCGCCATTCAACGAGGATGAGTATGGATGCTTCTTACCTCATCATGGAGTCCTCCGAGAATCAAGCACCTCCACCAAACTACGGGTGGTATTTAACGGGTCGCAAGAGACAATGTCCGGCGAGTCGCTGAATCACCACCTTCTCATAGGCGCCAATTTGCTGCCCGCTTTAGCCGACGTGTTGACGCGCTGGCGCTGGCACCGCTACGCCTTCGTCACGGACATCGAGAAGATGACGGCAGATTCTCATCCACCCGGACGACAGGACGTACCAGTGCATCCTCTGGCGGTGCGCCCTCCTCGCCCTCGTGTGCGTGTACCGGCTCCTCACGGTGACATACGGCCTCGCGTGCGCGCCTTTTCTAGCCATTCGCACGTTGCAACAGTTGGCTCATGACGAACAATCGCGATATCCGCTGGGAGCAATCGCGTTGCGTGAGGACACCTACGTGGACGACGTTGTCTCGGGCGCGAACACTCCGTCCGCCGCGATCGCGAAACAAGCCGAACTCCGCGGACTGTGCACGGCGGGCGGGTTCCCGCTTCGAAAATGGGCCGCGAACGACGAGAAAGTGCTGTCAGGAGTCCCACCCGAGCACCGACTTCACCACGAACCGCACTCATGGGAAAACGACTGCTTTTCCACTCTCGGGTTATTGTGGCACCCGAACGAGGACACCTTCGCGTTCGCGATTCACCCGCGCACCGTCACCGAACTCTCGAAGAGACGAGTCCTCTTGGAAACCGCACGTCTTTTCGATCCGCTAGGATGGCTCGCCCCCGTGGTCATTCGCGCGAAGATTCTCATTCAGTCCGCGTGGCTCCAGAGACTCGAGTGGGACGATCCTCTTCCCACCGCCGACGCGCAAAGCTGGAAGAGCTTCCTCGAGGAGCTGCCTCTCCTCTCCCGATTACGCATCAACCGCTGGCTCGGCAGCGGGGACGAAGACGCACAAGTAGAGCTGCACGGCTTTGCCGACGCATCCGAGCGAGGATACGCCGCTGCCGTGTACCTCCGCATCACCAGGAACGGCACCGTGGCCATTCACCTGTTGGCCGCAAAGAGCAAGGTGGCCCCGGTCAGGCAGGTGACACTGCCACGGCTCGAGCTCACTGCCGCCGACTTGCTCACGTCTCTCACAGATCACACTCGTTCCACTTTGCGTCTGTTCACAGCACCCACGTTTCTTTGGTCCGACTCGCAGGTTACCCTGAAGTGGATTCAAGGACACGCTTCCCGCTGGAAGACCTACGTGGCGAACCGCGTGGCTCGCATTCAGCAACGGCTGCCTGACGCTCAATGGAGACACGTCCCCGGGAGGGACAACCCTGCGGACTGCGCCTCCAGAGGAATCGCCCCTGGCAAACTGCTGGAGCATCCCCTGTGGTGGACTGGACCCGCCTGGCTCTGCGAGGACCGATCTCACTGGCCGAGCGGGGACCTTGTGATGTCCGACGCCGATCTGCCCGAACAGAGAGTCGCGGCACACGTCGCCACCGAGAAAATCGAGGAGGAACCCGAGATGCTTCTCCGGTTTTCCTCCTTGCACCGGCTCCTCCGAGTCACGAGTTGGTGCTTGCGTTGGCGTCGCACCGCTTCCCGCACTACCGCACTTACACTGCAATCGACCGAAATCAATGACGCACTGCTGCTCTGGCTTCGCGTGGTGCAAGGACTGCACTTCACCAACGAGATCACGGCCCTCTCTTCAAACCGCGCTGTGTCCCATCGCAGTTCGTTAGCGAGCCTGAGTCCATTCCTGGATGACCACGGCGTGCTGAGAGTCGGAGGCCGCCTCAAGCATGCTCTGCTGTCCACCGATGAGCGACATCCGATGATCGCACCGCCGTCCTCGTGGCTCACTCGGTTGCTCATCGAGTCGTGCCA